GGCAGGGCTTCAATTGGAGCGGCCAGTGGGGGGGGGGGGGGGAGGGGGAGAATAGCGAACAGTACGAGATGGCTGCGGGCTGTTCCGCGGTCTACCAAGCCTAGATCGCTTTAGCTCGAGGGACTAGAGTGGCCTGTCGTTCTCGAGTCAGCCCAGAAATGGACGAATCGAGACAACTTCGCAAATGAGGCTTGGTTCAATACCTCTTGTGAAGTGATTGTAAAGAGATAAAGTGTCCGCCACGTCGAGTCAGATCCTTGTCTCTCGGGGTGCGTGGGGGGGGGGTTATCTTTCTCACCGCGTAACTCGGGAGGCTTCCCCAGATCCATGTCCATGGCTAATTGAAGAGCTCTAATTCGCCATGCGGCGTTCCAGTTGACTACCAACAAGAAAGGATGATCAGGGCCACGGTCCCATATGTGCTGCCGTATACACCAGCCCGTTCACATGAGAAGTGACCAACTCCCGCCCTCTACCCTTCCCACCCTCCATCCACCCTGACCGGCTCCGTCGTTGTACTCGAACCCCCCCCCGCCCGCTTGCGACGACTCATGTGTGCGTGTATGTGTCCCTGCCGGTGAAGCCCTCAGCCTCCCGCATCCCACAGACAGCGGTACAAGCCCGTCATGACTTTGTCGCTGCCTGAGATCAGGCTCCCCTCGCCGCCGCTCCTCAGCGGCCTACTGATCGCCGGCCTTCTCCTCTTGTTGGCCAGGGCGTACCACGGGTGGCGACGCCTCTCTCACATCCCGGGCCCGTTCCTATGGTCGCTCTCACCGTTCCCGCTGCTCAGAGCCAACCTCATCGGCCAATCCCATCAGATCCTCAGTGATTTGACCACCGAATATGGTCTGACAACCCACGCCAGGCTTCCTTTTCTTTTTCCTCTAGAGTTGGATGGCTCTTGGAGACGCAGAATTACGTGCTGACATGTCCTCGTTTCTGTCGTTCCAGGCCCTCTCGTCCGCATCGGGCCCAATGCCGTGCTGACGACTGACTACCGGCACTGCCAGAAGATGGAAGCCCACAAGTCGCCCTATCGCAAGGGCCCTTGGTATGGCACCTTTCGGTTTCAGAAGGGCGTCGACCACTCGTTCGCCATGCTGGATGAGGCCAGGCACACGGCCCTGCGAACCAAGGTCGGGCCTGGCTACTCTGGGACCATACTCGTGGTACGTGACCTGGGGCTCTCTGCTCTTGCGCCTGTTGTGTCGAGGCCGTGCCTGTTGTCTGGAGGCCGTGCTTCGCGTGTCTAGGCCGTGCTTTGCGTGCCAAGGCTGATACCAACGGTGACCAGGAACAAGCCATCGACCGGCAGCTGGAGCGCTTCTTCCGCGTCATCGACGAGCAGTACATCACGACGCCGTCTGACCACAAGCCCCTGGATCTGTCCGTCATCACGCAGTTTCTCGCCCTCGACATCGTCGGGGACATGACGTTTGGCAAACCCTTTGGCTTCCTCGACAAGGGCGAAGACATCTATGACTGGATCAAGTGGAACGAAGGCTTCTTCCCCATCGCCTCCACCGCCGCCACGCTCCCGTTCCTCGCCAGCCTCGTCCAGAAGTGGCCCTTTTCCGAGGCGCTGCCCAAGCCCACCGACAAGGACGGTCTTGGATGTTTCATCAAGTAGAGTTCTTTCCCCCTCACTCTCCCTGCCACTCGCACCAACCACCGTTACAATAGTGTGTCAGAACTAACAGTCCCCGGCGTAGGGCGGCTCAGGACACGCTCGACGAGCGGTTCGAGCCGGGCGCGCAGCCGAGAAACGACATGATCGCTCAGTTCCTCAAGCACGGCGCTACCAAAGCGGAAGCAACCAGCGAGGCCCTGGTCCAAGTGTACGTCCTAATCAGCCATTTCTCCACATACGCCGCCCATGTGATTCAGCCAGGCTAACAGGGCGCGCGCCAACCTCGACAGCGTCGCCGGCACGGATTCCGTAGCCGTGGCCCTGCGCATGGCTGTGCTCTACGTCCTCTCGACGCCGCGGGTCTACTTCCGCCTGCTGTCCGAGATCGAGGGCGCCGCCGCCAAGGGCGAGGTCAGCTCGCCGATCAGGGATGCCGAGGCCAAGAAGTTGCCGTACCTGCAGGCCGTGATCCGCGAGGGCATGCGCATCTTTGCCTCGCAGACGCCCCTCCTCAACAAGACGGTTCCGCCTGGCGGGGATGTCGTTGCTGGTTTTGCGCTGCCGGCCGGCACGCAGGTGGGCATGGATGGTGTAAGTCATCAGGCAAACCTATGGCGGAACAGGCATCGCCCCTGTGTGCGCGGGCTGCTGCTTGGACTGGCGGACTGGACGCTTCGCTGACCGTGTCTGCAGTGGGGGATCCTCCGGAGCAAGGAGCACTGGGGCCCCGACGCGGGTATCTTCCGGCCCGAGAGATGGCTCGACATCGACGACGCCAGGAAGGCCGAGATGGCCGCCACGCTGGAGGCTCTCTTTGGCTATGGACGGTACAAGTGTCTTGGCCGGAACGTTGCTTTCATGCAGATGAGCAAGGCTCTGCCAGAGGTAAGAAGCTCCGCCGCTTCCCCCCCCCCTCCGAGCCTGAACTTGTGCTCATGGCTGCTTCTAGCTCTTGCGACGATACGACTTTACGATCAATGACCCGACCCTCCCGGTGAGGAAACTTCACAGCGCTGCTTTCTGGATGATGGAAGGTTTCTGGGTCACTGTTGGGCAGAGACAGACGCAGTAACGAGTCTGTCCTCGAATTGTGCTTTCATTTACTCGAAGCAGCTCAGTCTACATTGTCGATCGGCTCCCATTTTGGGAGACGATACCCGCCGATCGATTTTACGAAGGCGCCAAATCTCGCGAGAGCAGCCGCTACGTCTTGCCCGAGCCAGGACTGCAGGACGTTTGCCCGGCTGTACTCCATTTCATGTAGATGATGACCCAAGACCTGGAAATGACACAAAATTAGGCACTATCATCTCAACACAAGTGATGCAACTGACCAAGCAAGAGGTGCCGTGTCTGGAAGGATCCGCAGCGGCAAACGCGATGGCCGTGGCGACAGCAGCAGGAGTGTTGGCGTCCAGACCGGCCTGCGTGACGACACTGCCAAACTCCCTTGTGATACCTGTAGGCGTGTAACCAGGTGTCACTGCGTTCACCCGTACCCCCAGCGAGGCTGCCTTGTCCAGCGATGCTCTCAGCAACCCAATGACACCGTGCTTCGAAGCGATGTACGCGGCGTTTCCGGTCGAGCCGAAATACCCGGATATAGATGCCACCAAGACGATGGACCCTCTATATCCATCGGATACTGGACTGTTCTTGGCCATGTAGTGCAAGCTCAGACGCAATGCTGGTCACCTCTGAGTATGGGCCTGCAGAGCAGAAACTAGGGCTTGTGGACTCACTGTTCAAAGTCCCCTTCAAGTTGACATCCAGGACTCGATTCGCCTCCGTCGACTCGATGGGATCCCCTGCGTCGTCAACGCTGACGTCCAAGACTGGCGAGCTCTCCATGATCCCAGCATTGGCCACGACCATGTGAATCGCACCGAACCTACTCAGAGTAGTCTTGAAGACATGCATCAAGGCCGTCCAGTCCGTGACACTTGCGGGCGCGAAAATGGCGTTCTCCGGGTGCTTCATAGAGACTATGAGCGCCTGTGCGTCCGCCTTACGCCCCGGCAGATCTGTGATGCACACAAGCGCTCCATGTTCGTTGAAGAGGGTTGCCGTGGCTGCACCAATCCCTCGAGCGGCACCAGTAACAATGACGGTTCGCCCATCCAAAGACTGCAGGAGGTCATCTTGAAAGCTTAGTCGAGACATGATCCTGGCGACACGATGGTTGTTGTCCAGTTTATTCCGTATCTACCTTGAACTATCAGGTCATGTGCTGCTTATGCAGTACCCCGCGGCGCTGTTGATGTCTGACTGATCACCGCCGGTCAGCACCTCCGTCACCAGGGCGTTGCTTTGCGAGATGTGACAGTGTAAACCAATGGTCAACAGATGATAGTTTCAGAAACCAGCATAATCCATTGTTCGTGAGTGGTATGAAGTCTTCATAAATCGGCGACTAGGGTGAACTCAAATGAGTTATGCCGCAAATACAACGCCTCCCATGAGTTTATTTTGTCTCACTTGACCCGTTGTCGAGGCTCAGTCTGAACCCCGCCAAACGTCTACCCCGCGCGAACTGTTCAACCCAACATCACCAACAAGATACGTACGCACCAACTGCCGGACTGCCCACTATGGCTGATCAATTTGAGGTTCCAAAGCCTCTCGCAGAGCTCTTCGAGCAGATTGAGAAGAACGTCGCTTCGACACAGCTCGGCTCGTCGAAATGGTACATGATCACACTCGCAGCGCTCGTCGGCAGCAATGATCCTGACCTCTGCGCCGATCTCTACACGCACCTCCTCACGAAACCCGAATTCTCGGCACCAGAGCAGCGACAAGAGCTCGTCCGCCGCCTCCGCGAGGGTCTTTTCAAGACCATCAGCGTCGTTGGTGTGTGCAAGCCCATGAGTGCAATCCTGGCCATCAACGCCCGCGAGAGGGAGGAGGACAAGGACCGAAGCATCACGCGAGAGGGGTGGCAGTGCGACGATGACAGCCTGAAGCGCGGCCAGGAGTGGCTCGCCAAGATCTACACGCGGGACACGGACAGCACGCTCGACCTGTTCAAGGACCACAGGGACTTTGCATGGGTGTCGGAGCGCATCACGTACGGGTTGTACCTTTGCGACCGCCAGGTGCTGGACGACTTCGACACGGAGATGGTCGTCCTCTGCAGCATCATGATCCAGAATCTTGGCAGAAACACGCATTGGCACCTCCGAGGGACTAGGCGTCTCGGTGTCTCCTTCGAGGACACGCAAAAGGTGTGGGACTCGGTTCAGTTGGTCGCTGGCTATTTGGGCGTGACGCTGAACAGAATTCCGACGGTGGCCGATGTTGAGAAGGATATCTGAGAGTACCTGCGGTACAGGAGAGCCCAAGGATTGGCAGAATCATTGGTCGGTCTTTGCGATAGAAGAGCCATCGAGGCTCCAGATGGCATTAGATGCTCTCCATGTCCGAAGACCCTCATGTCCATGTCAATTTCTTTTCTGGCCATGAAACCGCCCAGCATACAGAACCCGTCTCGTATTCTCAAAGCCCTCAGGCGCTACGGACAAAACTTTACCATTTCAACAGGATCTAGCTTTGCCAGACAGCAAAAGGTGGAACCGCATGAGGTGCATGATCCATGCCACCCCGCCGATAATCCGACTTGCGTTTGGACGGAGTACATATGAATCACCTATAAATGGATGATCATCGCTATGATCTTGACTTATCTTGTTGCTTCGTTTCCTCCCCGCATACGTAGCCTTGAAGGTACGGTCATCCCAAAAACGACCACCATGTGCGAATCCTTCGAGGCTGTCGATGCCTTCATGCGTCACCCCCAAGAGCCATAGTTGTATCGCATACTCACTGAATCCTCGGTTTACAAGTATATTTTTTCTCCCTCCGCACCGCCCAGGGCATGCTTTCCCGACATCCGCGGCGAGTTCCTGGCCTTCAAGTCCGTCAGTCGAGGAAATTGGACTACTGGACGCCTGGGTACAACGAAAGACGGGCGTCTGAGCCTGAGCTCTACTGAGGACATTCGCCTTACGGATGTTTTCACACCATGGCATGCTTCCTAAAATCGACTTGCTTGATTTCCCTCGCCCCTCTCTGGAGTCGATACACAGGACGAGCTACAGTGACACGGTCAGTTGACGGCTGGAGTCGTCACTACGCCTGACCGCTGCGGACAATTCCCTACGGCGATTTGCTTCTGGATCTGGCAGCCTCGTTTTCGCTATGGCTTGTATGCAGATAGTAAGATGTATGCCGCCATGGAGCGTCACGACATTGCGCCCAAGTTCCTAGCGCACATCACCGAGAGCCGCGGCCGCGTCATCGGCCGCATGTTAGCGAGACTGAAGGCTCGTTTGGCTAATATCCAAAATATGGGCAAATGCTGGGCCCTTTTAGCTGGGCTGCGTAGCCTCGGGCCTATCGCGTCATTCGTTTCTGATAGACGACGAACGAGGTCGCGCCTATCTTCACGGATTCTTCACTTCGTATCACACGACCGACCAAGGCGTACTGCAGGCTGAGTTTCATAGCCTTGAGAGAATCTTGCCGCGAAGGGCGGATCCATCAACAGTCGGCCAGGGAAAGCTGTAGGCTATATTCAAGCAGTTATCTACGCAATAATCAAAAAGAATTCAAAGTAAGCGAGACAAGACTAGCAACCATGCCGAAATCGCATTTTCTGCGCTCAGGGGGTTTTATAGATGTGTAATACGTGCTGGCATTGCAAGACAGTCTTAACTAGGCGCGCCGTCATAACTTTATTGCAATATAGTAATCGAACTTCGTTCACGTTTTTCTAGAATCCTTGATCGTCTAGCAAATAGTCAGCGGATTGCAAGACAATGCAATGACGAACCCATGATCTACCTGGGAATTATGTTTAACCTGTATCGTTTCTCCATTTATTGCCTTTGCTACGCTTTCCTGTAATCGGAATTTCATCAGTTCATAATCAGTGTAGTAAGTCTCCTCTTTACATGGGAGGCGTGCAAAGCAAGCCAAACCAGAAAAGTCTCTGCAACTCAAACTTACAAATGTTTTTAATGAGGCCAATGTGAGCAAATGTGAGCAGACGTGCAGTCAGCGTGTTGATTGTGTGTCGCGAGTGCTTGTCAAAGCCAGACGGTAGCCCTGAAAGCGTCACTTGGAGGAACCGAAGACTTAGTATATTGAAATGAACATTAATAAGAACACTGGAGTCATTGCAACTGGGTGTAGATCGTTAAAAAGCGATTCATGACGAGTCATGCAGCGTCAATGGTTGCCTCGCAGAAGTTTGATTGCTTTGAATACCATCTCGGGGCCAAGGATTCTTTGTGACTGTTGTGACGTGGGACTTGATACTGTCATGGAGCAACGACTCAGAGCTTGCCTCCGACGTTTCTATATAGCTATATAACCTATGTAAACCATGAATAGTAATCTTGTGCCCAAGATATACCACATCATTCATCTCCGATTACAGGATCTAAGCTCCCAGATTACCACCTTAGTGAACAGCTCCAATACCGAGATCACTCTTAACAGCGTGTCCAGAAAGTAAGTCTGGGCTGTCCCTGAGATAAGTCGATAGGCATCTACTCAAGCTCAGAGCACTGACATATTAGAAGGATGTGTCTGATGAAGCACACTTATTACTCTTGCGGCTGCTATTCAGGATGTTGGATCGTCGGCGAGCATTGCTGTCGGTATCCGCGGTGCCAAACATATATCGCCAGCCCACCCTTCGTGCTGGATCAGGTGTGCTATTATCACAGCTTTCAACAAGGATAAATGATTGCTTGGGTTAGTCACAGTACTTCCGACGAAAGGTGTTGGGGCCTGGAGCATGCGGAGTTTGAATTCAGGTTTCCGATGCTGCTGGGCTTGGAGCACCTGTGGGCAGTAGACGGCTCAGAGCCTGCACAAATCAACAGGCGAGCAATGCAGTAGCAAATATGAGACACAACGTAAGCTACATGTTGCTTGATCTGCGATAACACATTGTTAGCCCCTTCCTTCCCTTGATTCCAGAAGCCCTTCCCAAATGCAATGTTCACACAGGCTCATGACACATGTTCCTGCTATTGTCTTGACAGTTTTCCATTTTCCGCTTCATAGCAAGTCCTATTACAGAGGTTGAGCTAGGCAGTATTGCCTTCGAAATGTGATTATCAGCTGACTCGCTTGCTCGAGCCGATAGGTTTCTCGATCATTCTCAGACTACCGCGTTCTTCCACTCCTACTTTCACGCGTCTTTCCTTGCGCACAGTAAGCAAGTCTGCACGCAGCGTCTAAGTGACCCTTTTGCCTCGCAGGTCCGACTATGTATAAGATGCTCATTGCTCAGCGCTAGGCCTCGAGGTTGTTTCTGGAGCTGGCATCAATAGCATCGTCAATGATCTGCATGTGGCTGCATTGAGAATTCTACAAGACCAATAACCTCGGAATCTAGTAGATGCGCTTCTAGGCATAGGTATTTTCCGAAGTAATTAACGTGATTTCATCGCCTTGACTGTTATACGTATCGACAACAAGTCAAGGCTGTCTCAATGTTGTACACATGCTTTCTAATGGACGTTGGAGCTCCCAAGACGGCTTGAGCTGGCCCTCCTCTGTTTTATCATAGGCGAGGCCACGCGTCGATGCGTTTCCTTAGAGTCTCTGGTCCTTCACATGTTGACGAAGACTGGTGTTCAAAAAATGCTGTCTGTTCAGGTTCTGATCGCGTATTACTTACCGCTGAACCAATTCTAGCTGATCCTCGACGTAGATTCATGGATTTCCCGCGATTCCAGGGGAAAAGAGACCCATATCTCGCCGTCTTACTGCATGCGGAAGGATCAAATCCGACTGTAGCGTGGTGAGTGGCTGTGCCGCAGCAATGCACGAAGGATTTCTCCCACTCCACGTAGGCTGCTGGCTGTTGCATCTTCTGAGCATGATCATATCCCTCATTGCATAGACACCTTTTGCTGAGATTTACACCATGAAGCAACGATCTCGGGCTTGCGAGCTATGCCAGAAGCTCAAAGCCAAATGCGAGGCTTCCTCCACGGGGAAATGTGACCGCTGCAAGCGTGCAGGGGTCGAATGTGTTCCCGCAGCGCCACGATTCCAGCGCGACCGCATTGCCGAACTAGAGGCACAGGTCGAGGAACTCACACGCCGACGGTTGAGGGATACCCCCACTGACGAGTCGCTCATCCCGTTCATTGACGCGCGAATTCATCCCGATGAGCAGAGACGCGTTCTGACTGCTTATGCGTCCCACAATGCCGCAGTGTGGCCCTTCCTCTCTGTTGCCGATACGGACCTCGAGCACCTCAGGGAGACTTCATCGCTCCTGCTATTGGCCCTGCTCGCCTTCCCCGGCGACACACTGCTCCCGGCACATGTACAGGAAGAGCTAGTCCTCAAGGCCATGTCCATATTCGGGGAGGAGATCATCGCCAAAGGAAACCGTTCCCTAGAAATGGTCAAGGCTCTCCTGACGGCAGCATTCTGGTTTCGACAAGCCAGACAGGTGCCTCACGGTCATTGCTACCAGCTGACGCAGTTGGCGGTCGACATGGCTATTGACATTGGCATCGCTGGGCCTCAGCTCGTCAGAACACCCCCGGCTTACTTTTCTGAGACTAAGAATCCGACATCTTTGGATGCCAGAAAGACGTGGATCGCTTGCTTTCTCGCAGCAGCTTCAAATTCTCTCTGCATCAGGCGACCAACCATCGTCACATGGACGCCATACCTTGAGGAGTGCATCCAGTGCCTGGATAAGACCGACGACTGTCTTGCCCACATGGCACGAATCATGAAAATTTGCAACCAAATTGCGGGCAAGCTAGGCCTTTGCGACCTTACAGTCTATACTGGCGTTGAAGACGCAAGGGACCAGATGGCCACCCTCCGCGGCCTCGTCTTGGCTTGGCATGCTCAACTGCCGGCAGCCCTCGCCAGCCACCCCGTGTTTAGCTTTTGGCGGGAGATCGCGGGTCTACTGATTCATGAAGTTGTCTTGCACACACAGACGAATAAGGCACTGTTTGCTGGGCCGTATGTGCCAGGCAAGATTGGGGTTAAGGACTTTGCCGCTCCGACCAAACTCTCGACGGAAGTGGTCTTCACTTTGCAGAGCCTCCTCAAGGCGTGCCACGGTGCAATACAGATCTTCTCCGACATGAGCCCCTCGATGATGCTTGGGCTTCCGTCCTTGACAATTGGTCCGGCTGTTCTACATGCCCATTTCGTGCTGATACAAGCTCATGTCGCCGTTACAGGGCTCCATAACAGCCTAGGCCAGATCTCGACTCCGGACCAAGTCGCGCTTTCGTCCAACATGCAGAAATTGGAAGATGTG